TATATATATATATATATATATATATCAAAGGTATACTACGTACTTATTTATTTATTTTCGGTAGGTTTTTTTTTTTTTTTTTTTTTTTTTTTGCTTTCTTTTCCTTTTCTTTAGCGACGCCATGATGACTAACCAGGGCAATCATTACTTAAACCCAATCGCATTGCCCACGCAAGGCGGTCCCCCGGGTTGGCGTGATTACCAAAGTATTGGTGTGCAGCTGCGGAGTATTATGCGTGAGGCCTGCGGTGAACCCCCCGCCGGCACTGACCGCGCAAAGGTGGAGAAACGCATCAACATGCTGCAGTGCGCCCTTGAGGAGGTAGAACAGTGGAAGCGGGATAAACAACTCATAGCAGATATGACAAAAGCAAAGGAGTTGCGAGATCATCTTTTACGTCGGGCGAAACAGGATGAGGAACGTATGCTGGAAACGAGAAAGAAGTTTGAAGAAAGGCAGAGAATGGTAAGAGAGATGCAAGAAGATAGAAAACTTTACTATAGAAGCCGAAATCAGCAGATAGATGAAAAAATAGGGTTGTCCAAGGCTCATACAGCAAACGTGCATACAGTGATTATGGAAAGAGCTGAAGCGGAAAGTGAAAAAAGAAATAGAGCCTTACTTAGATTAAAGGAAGAACGTGAACGGGCTACACAGGAACATAAGGAAAAGAGTCAACAACGCATGGAACACTGCCGTGCAGTTCTTCAACGTCGAAAAGAAAGAGAAGAAGCCATTCGACGAGAAAAGAAACTTGCGTATTTGCGGCATGAAGAGGAACTTATGAGATGTCAAGCCACAAATATTGAGCAATCACGTGATACCAGTCAACCTCGAAGAGATTTTAGGAGTCGTTCACGAATGAGGGATGAAACTCGTGATGGGAGTGTGAACTCCGAGTCAAGATCAAGATCGAAAGGACAAGATGATCTCATTAAGCGAATAAAGGAAAAGGAACAACAACATCAAGAACGATATGAAGCTGAAAGAGCTGTTCGTCTCTATGAAATACAACAGAGAGCGATGGCACGAAAAGAAAGACAAGAGAAGCAGCAACGTAATTACGTAGAAGTTCTGGAAAAGAGACTCCAACGTGGTGATGAGATTATTGAGTTAGCACGGAAAAAGAAACAACGGGGAGAAAAGGCGAAAAAAGAACGTGAAGCTCGTGATGTTCAAGCGGGTGAGGCTATTTCACGAGATGTGGAAGAACATCGCAAACGTGCTGAGGCCTTTGAACAGGGGACTCGCAATGCCGCATTAAAGAAGAACTATCGTAGATGGAATGAACGAGCTGCACGTGTTCTTCGCCAACTAGAAGAAGCTCTTAATGCAGATAATGATATTAATCTTGGGAAAGGAGCTGCAGTTGGATTTCTTCCGCAAATGAGTAGTCTTTATAATGATCAAAGAAATTAAGAAGAGTGGGGTATATCATCAATTGTTTCATTTATCAACTGAACATTAGATGGAGGTGTACAAGACTATTTTTGTATCTTGCTATATTTGCTTTCTATCTTATTACTAACAGGAATGAAAAGGAGAAAAAATTAAAGAATGTAAACTCTTTTTCTTCTTCTTTTTTTCGTTTTGTACGAGCAAGTTTCCACTATATTTCGCGCTATTCATGTGTGAACTTTGTTTTTTGTTTTTGTACTGTGTTTATACTTATATCTTTATCTTTATGTAATTGTATCACTATTTGACTGCACCCAAATACATGTGCGTAACTGGGAAGTCTATATAAAGAAATATATTTAAAAAGAAAAAAGAAAAGAGGAAGGCAAAGAAGAAAAATAATCTTTATTTTTCGCTTCTTCTTTCTGTACCAGTTTATGTGTGAAATGATGTGCTGATTTTATTATTATGTACAGATTAAAGGGCTTCCTTATGAGGAAAGGAAAAAAAAAAAAAAAAAAACCACTGCAGTGGTTTTCATGCACCAATCACATTCTATTGTTTTTCCTGTGGATTTATTATCTTTATATATAAATATGTGTTTTTATTTGTAAACTTCGAAAAGGGAGGGATGTACTTGATGATAGTTTATGTTCTATTTATATTTTTATCTTTTCTATGTATTTAATTGCCTTTTTTTTTTCTTTTTTTTTGTTCTTACTCTACATTAAAGGTGGGTTCCGTAATAAGGTCAAAGGTAGTGTATTACAAGAAGAAGAGGAATCGTGTTGATCTTTTCTTTGGTGGATTAAGTAATTACTACTAGACAATGTCGATAGAAACGGAACCCGAAACAACAGATCTTCTTACTGTGATTGTAAGTACGATTCTTATTCCTTCATGGGCTGTATTGCTTGCCTCTGGTTTTGCATCATGTTTCATTAATGTATTCATGAATTGTTTCCTTTATCAAGGTTCTATGGGAAAAATAATACGGTATATGAGAGCATTATGCTCTACAAAAGATGATGAGCATGGTGAATATGGGTATCTACCGATAGAAGTTGATCCTTCTTTGGGAAATTGGGTACTAAACAATTTAGCCCACAACTTTACTTTCTTCCAACCAGAAGAGAATATGACACCATCTTCATCTATTAATCAACCAGAAGTTGTGGCAAATGAGGCCTTACAGAATTCATTACAATATGTAAGACTTGAAGCACAACGTATGGTTTTTGTTTATAATCCCAAGTATATGATCATAGCCACAGCAAAAAGCTTAATAATGTTAATGATAATTCAGTATCATTTTGATTTTAAGGGTGGTTGGGATAGGCTAGTTGTTTGTTGTGCAGCCAATCTGATGAGTGGGTTACTTACGCCTGTATTGGAGTATGGTGCTCGCCTTTTACTCCCACTTGACCTTGATTGTGGTAGAAAGGATTTGGTTGTGGAACCCGAAGAGCCGAAAGACTCCGTGCTTATTGTTGAAGTACTTGTTCAGATTGGTAGACTGGAGCTTGAGGACCTTGAAACTGTATTGATCCAGTGTAGCACGTTCATTGTTTTTGGAGCTGTTCTTTTGCCTGCAGCGGTAGTGTTTTGTGTGGCTGGTTTTAGTGCTTTTATTTGGGTCTTTTCACCTATATGGCTGGTGTATGCGTTGGTACGTTATTTCTACTATCGCTCTGCTAGCGTTGGAGTACAGGCATCCAGTGGTAGAGGAGGTGATGTGTTGTTTACACCTGCAGGTGAATTTGTGAAGGCGGCACTGTTGAAGGTGATGACTTTGTTTTTACTTCAATGGACGATTCAATGTAGTTTCCTCTTTGGTTTGGTATTACTGCAGGGTGGAAAATATGTGGAGGCATTGCGCACAGAAGCGCATTATCAAATATTGGGTTGGTATAATCCAATGGAGATGAACCAATTCCAGTTTCTTTGCTTTGTAAGCCAAGTTTTTTTCTAAGGTGTGTTTTTTCTTTATTTTTGGAGTAACGTACACCTTTCATTGAAGTCTGGTTTCTGCTTTTTTTCTTGTTTTTGTTTTTGTTTTTTATTTATATTGAGTTAAACTTATCTTTAGAAATGACTTTGGTTATTTATTTTTTTTTTTTTTCTTAAATTTTATCCACTTTAATGTTTAGGTATTTCTTTTTCTTTTTTCGTCTTATTTGTTGTTTTGCCATATTTTTCTTTTTTTTTATTTTTTATTTTTTTTTTATTTTTTGAGTTGCGTATGGGTTATTATAAAAAGGCGTAGGAGTAATAAAAAAAAAAAAAAAACTGATCATGCTTGACCATTCAATCTCGTATAATGTTAGGGAACCTACAAATAATGTTGAACCAATAACCATAGATCCTACTGTATCAGCCGCATACGTAACACAAGTTTTGATAATTCCACCGATATACATTGTTTTTCTTGCAAGTGTGTTATGCTGTCTCTTTAATGCGGCTTTTAATTACATTCTTTCAGGGAGGGGAACAGTTGCACGTACAATAGAAAAATGGAGCAGCGTATTGCGGTTATTAAGACATTCGCTTATTGTTAAACAAAAAAAAGATGTTAAAACTATTGTAACGGAATCCAACGGATATGGAGAAGGTGATGGTCTTTTGGATTCAAACACAGTCTCTACTGATCACGTTGATAATGCACTTTTTTTTCAGGGAATATCTAATCCACAATCATTAGAAGAGACTTCACCTGTAGTAAACGCTTCCATAGCAAATGAGGCCTTACAGAATTCATTACAATATGTAAGACTTGAAGCACAACGTATGGTTTTTGTTTATAATCCCAAGTATATGATCATAGCCACAGCAAAAAGCTTAATAATGTTAATGATAATTCAGTATCATTTTGATTTTAAGGGTGGTTGGGATAGGCTAGTTGTTTGTTGTGCAGCCAATCTGATGAGTGGGTTACTTACGCCTGTATTGGAGTATGGTGCTCGCCTTTTACTCCCACTTGACCTTGATTGTGGTAGAAAGGATTTGGTTGTGGAACCCGAAGAGCCGAAAGACTCCGTGCTTATTGTTGAAGTACTTGTTCAGATTGGTAGACTGGAGCTTGAGGACCTTGAAACTGTATTGATCCAGTGTAGCACATTCATTGTTTTTGGAGCTGTTCTTTTGCCTGCAGCGGTAGTGTTTTGTGTGGCTGGTTTTAGTGCTTTTATTTGGGTCTTTTCACCTATATGGCTAGTGTATGCGTTGGTACGTTATTTCTACTATCGCTCTGCTAGCGTTGGAGTACAGGCATCCAGTGGTAGAGGAGGTGATGTGTTGTTTACACCTGCAGGTGAATTTGTGAAGGCGGCACTGTTGAAGGTGATGACTTTGTTTTTACTTCAATGGACGATTCAATGTAGTTTCCTCTTTGGTTTGGTATTACTGCAGGGTGGAAAATATGTGGAGGCATTGCGCACAGAAGCGCAGAATCAAGTGTTCTGTTGGTATAATCCAATGAAGATGAACCAATTCCAGTGGCTGTGTTTTGTCAGTCAACTTTTTTTCTAAGTAATATAATTTCTCTATTTGGAAAATTAATGTTGGTGGCGTTTGACTTGTTTCACTGATTACTTGTGATGATTAAGGATTAAATCTTTTTTTTTTTTTTGTGAATTATTATGATTATGATTATTATTATTATTATTATTATTATTATTATTATTATTA